TCGGCACGTGGCGGCCGGTGCCGTGAAAGGCGAAGACGCGAAAATGATCGGGGAGCGGCGCGGTCCCTAATGGAATTATAAATTCAATACCGGCCGGCACGGCACACCTGAGTCTGTTTCCTGGTATCCGGGTAGATTTTCTCGCTCTGGATGCTCGCGTATGTGTGTATGTGTGTGTGTGTGGATAGCGCGTTCCGCTAGTAGTATTCGTAGGCAGATAGTAACTCGCGTATTCGTGTATCGCTGCCGCCGTCGTAATTGCCATCCTAATAATTGTCATGGTGTACGCGCAGCATACCGCAGCCTGTGTCCTGCACCGTGTGTGTTTCCAGGGTAAATGATGGCCCGCTATCCAATCTACGTTCATCGAACGAAACCGCGTAACCGGCCGAAGATTAGTCGCATATGTGGGAGCGTGCATGTGTATGTGTATAAGCGCTCGCATGAATCACTCGCGGCGCGTTTCTAATTGCGGATATTATTACCGCGCGAGAGAGAATCGATCGTTAATGAAAATGAGAGAAAGCAAGAGAGAGAGAGAGAGAGAGAGACAGACAGAAATGGAAACTGTCAAACTTTGTGACTTTTCTGAGATTTTTTAGAAGCATTTATTTATTTTAGACTAGTCTTAATTATATATATACTGCTTCTTTATATGTATATACATATGTATATATTTTATAATAAAGATAAGTTTATCATGTATTAAAGATAGAGAAAAAAGGAAAATTATTGCTTCTTTTGCCACGTAAAGGAATCATGTTGGTGTAATAGTATTATATGTCAGATAATTGAATACTTATTATATGATTACGTGGCGATGCGAGTGAAGAAGAAAATTAGCGAATTTGTTGACTCACTACACTATACTGCATATTCATTACTATTACATATTATTACATAAAATCACGTGAATTATTAGATACTTGATAAACTCGTTGGATGTAACGAATATGGGAATATGAATATTATTAGAGTTACTAGAGCAAATAAACATCGGTAAACCCCTAAAATAATTAAATCAAATTAACAATTTTGCCAATTAAAGATGTAAGAGAAATCATTTATGTTCACAATAATTTGATAAAACGCATCACACAAGTACAAAAATATAAAAAAATGTCTATAAAATATAACATAAAATCTTATAAAATTTGCTTTTTATTAATTGCATTTTAAATATTGTTTGTGTGTAAATGATGGAATTATGTCCGACATCGTCATCTTTACATCCAACATATGTCCTTGATATAGTTGTGCATTTCAGCGTATTTAACAAACGCACCCTCCGATGCGTTTGAATACACTGTCTGCTTAAATCGAAAATTGATAGATCTCTATTTTTTGTTGCTTCAAAATCAATGCCGCGTATAGATATTCCTATCTTCAAGTAGCTCATATGCGTCAGGTCATATCCTTTACTACAGTCGTATTATCGAGATTGGGCTCGTCTCCTTCCGCTCACCCTCTTTGCCAACCGGCCATCAGCCCCCTCTCCTCTCTCCCTCTCTACGGTTCTGTAGCCCCAATCACACCGGCAGCCGCTAAGTGCGATCCATTACGCGTAATGGAATGCGCCAATTATAACATTTGCTGAATAATTGGCGGACGCTCGGCTGCGCCTGCCGATGGTGCAGGCCGGCACACAGGGTATATACGCAGAGGTGGCTGAAAGGGATAACGCGGGTGAGTGGGGTGGAAGTAGCCGATGGGTGGGTGGTTGTGTGGCGGCTGCGCTCGATACTCGCGCGCATATATGTATGCACGCATACGTACACATATACACGCGGGTTGCACGGCAAACATCAAATAAATCATTTAATAAATTTTGCGGAAGTGGTGGTGGTGCTGATGGTGGCGGCGGCGGTGCTGGTGGTGGTAATGATAAACTCTAAAAGGCTAGTCCGTTATTATGTAGTGACGTCCACGAGCGCCGTCAATGACGGTTAATTTTTTGTTTTCTGTTTTTCTTTTTCTCGCATTTATTGATGCGACATATAATAATGACGATTAAATAATTATATATTATTTAATTTTCTTTTATTTTTGTTCGAAAAGTAGGATATAATAAACATCAATATTTCTCTCTCGATATTTTTTGAAAGAATACATTGCAGAAGCGGATTATAATAGAAATATAGAAAGAAAAGAAAATAAAGAAAATAGAAAGAGACTCGAGAACGAGGGACGCTTGACATAAGATCAATACCGTAGCAACACGGTTAAGATAATTTATAAAAAATAGTATAATAGCAGTAAAGTGTGAATAATGATGTGTTGCGAGACAAAAGGAGAAAGATAATATAAAAATAAAACAGACAAGCAATTAAAAAAAATATAAGATGCTACAATAATGAAAATTATCTTTTATAATAATTTCTTTGAAATGTAACTTATATTTGACAAGAGATATCCACGAAATATTATATGTATATTGATAAAGCATTTAACAAGGCAAAAAAATAAAAAGTTACGGTAAATATTTCATCAAAAAAAAAAAAAAAAAAAAACGAAACTATGTTAAAAACCTATGTTAAAACTACAGTATTCCTGTCATATTTCTGCAGTATTAAATAAAAAACATATTTTTTATATACACGATTCTATAATGAATATTTTTATAGAACGCGCGCATCGTTCAATTTCCCGCTCTGACTCTGAAAATATTACGCGTGTTTTAAAACATATACGCTCCACTAGTAACGCAATTTTTCAATTATATCAATTAACTCTTCAAACATTTACATTGCTCTCTCTTTCTCTTTCTCTCGAGCTTTCGCGCATTTTTTTTTTCGTCTCCACTTCTACAGATCTCGCATCGACAGCGCGTAGATAAACTTAATCTACAAAAAAAAAAAAAAAAGGAAAAATAAAACGAGCCACGTGTTACAACAAATCCGATCTGAGGATGTCAAAGAGCGCGGCGCGATTAGGATCCTCATGCGAAATTGATGCTAACTGGTTAATCCGGCTGTATTTACGGAGAGTAAATGAAACGTCGGTGTATTTTCACTTCCTCTCTCTTCCCTGTAACGTCAGATATCCGGTATAATATCCCGCCCTCCGTCCGCGCGCGGCGAACACACACAACATCGGCACCGTCGTTGGGGATGCGTAAAAACGACGCTTGTGTACACGCCGACGTATGTGCAGTCTATAATCGAGTTATGCACGCCGCATTTTTCCATCAGCCCTGGCTCTCCCGTCGATCAAAGTGCACGCGGGGACGGGGAAAAAAGGGGGAGGGGAGGGGTATACATAAAATGTCAGTAATGCATCCCAGTGTGTATAAAATGCGCTACTCGCGTTCGTGCAACGCGATACATCAAACGGTTTATAAATCAAAACTTATAAAAAATTTTTGCGTATATGATATTACGTGCGATATAACGCCGCGCGTTTCCAGCGTTTACTATGCCGGGGCGCGCAATTAACGCTCTCGATATATGTATAACCCGTCCACAGCCGAAAACATTTTCGGTAGTATAAGTAATCGAGCCGATCGTTCGCTTCATTTGTGTCGCCCGCCAATATAAAATGTCGAGAGTTTTCGAAAGTGTTATAATAAACACCATTGTGCTTGTTATGCGTAGCATTTTTAGATATTTATAGATAGATGGTGTTTTATTGTTGGTAAATTTATTTTGATTGACGTTTCGGACATAAGATTAAAGAATTAATTCTCTCGATTTTAACTTTAATGATTCTTCGAATATAGACTAGTATATAATATAGTCACCTATTTATTATTTATTATAATTTTCTATATAAATATAAAGTTAATAAGTGTGTATGAACGAATAGTTTATGAAAAATTAAGATATTACAAAGTTGACATTATAATACAACAAAGTTAGCATTATAATATAATTATATCTCTCACAAGTGTTTTTTATTAAATAAATTACTTTGGAATGTGCACTATGTAATTGTGTGTGTGTAAAATATTTCTTGACTTTCTTTATAATGTATGTTTGTAAAATATTAAAAGATCTCTTTGAATATTGCTTTTCTGCATTAGTTTACATAATATTAAACCATGGAAAATGATATATAAAAAGGAAGTCAAAGCAGATCTGAAATCGTATTAAAAAATATTTGGAATGGTAAAGGAAGGGAATATTAATAAATATATATCTAAATTGATTAATAATCTTTCCTACACCCTGTTCTCTATAAATGCTAATTTATTTTTATTTTATATAATTACAATGTATCTGTGTATTATCAATGTATCTATGTAATTATTTAAAAGTTTATATTCTCTCAAGATTTGCTTTGATTTTTGCATATATATAGAATATAGGCTACTGAGTTACATTTTTAATTATGTGGAAGTTGCTTTTATATCAAGAAATGTGACGTTAAAGTATAAAAATTTTTTAAATATAAAAGTATAAAATATTTTAAGGTATCAAAATTTGCCACATAATTCAAAATGTAGGCGATTCAGAAACCTATACTTTGTAATACATGTAAAAATCAAACTGAATCATGAGAATATATTTTTGTAAATTATTATCAAAACTGTTACAAATAAAATAGCAACATTTTTAGAATACGAAGTTTCTATTTAACTTTCTTTGTAGTATTCATGTCTCTTGGACGAAGATTGAATACAAGAATTTATGCAATGTATGTATTTATATGTATAAATATTTTAGCTATATTAATGTGTATATTATCCATATAATATTTTTATGTTCTTATATATAAAATTCAAATTTTTAAAATTTGTTAAAATGTATGATAATAACCATATATAGGAGAATAAAAAATGTCAACAACAAGAATACAAATAATATAAGATATTTTACTGTTGTATTTTTTATCACTGCAAATTTAAAGTTTTATATAATAATCGAGAAAAAAAGATTTTATTTTTTTCTAGTTCTTTTCTAATATGTGTATTTCGTTTCTTATAAACACACATTAATATATCTGATATAATTTTTATTGATCCAGCCTCTAATTGAAATAGGAAATAACTTGGTACTCACCGATACGATGCGCAATGAAGAGGTTGTAATACACAAGGTTGGTCTGTAAAATACAAATATATCGAAATTATTCTATATATAAATATATAAAAAAGTATGATTAAAATAATCAATTTATACTTTATTTTGTGAATAATTGCCGTATACTTTAAAAGAGCATTTTCCAAGATTATAATAATAAATCATTCATTTATTTATTCTTTCTCTCTTTCTTTTATTCTTCAAGTAACAAATAATATAATAAATTAAGTAGGATGTAAATTACTCACCCGCACGCTCCGCCGTCATGTCTGATGCTTTTCCTTCCTCTGAGCTTTCTCCTTCTTCCTCTTTATTGTCCCTTCACTTTGTCAACACTCACTTGCAGAAACACCACATATTACGATCACGCGTACAGTAATACGACAATCGCGTGACACTTTGTACTAGTTTATACGACGCTTCAAACGTTAATCACGCGCGACGCGCACTTTATTACATCGAGGCGGAAGAATAATGTGAAAAAAGAATAACGGAAAAAGATTGCACGAAGCTATGCGCGGCACCTGCACGACTAATTGAACGAACGGCGCAGGGAATTCGAAAATTGCGCGACCAATTTCACGCGTCACCCGCCGCGGCGACCTGTTGCTCCTAGCTCTGGCACTTTCGTAGACTATCTGCACTTTAAATAAATAGGTCTTTAAATAAATACGCGTTCGCGTGTTTTAGAGACTGATTACTATCTTGTATTATAATATAAGAGAATATACAAGTCAAAATTCGTGGTAAATATCCGCGGAGAGTACAATATGAGAAATATAATCGTCACTTTGCTCGAATTGTTCGTGCGATAGATTTCGATTAAATTAATTACATATTCTATCTAATCATCGATATATAAATGCTGAATGTATGCTACGTGATTGATAAATGTAAAAATATAGGATTAATTTGAAAATACAGCACCCAACTCTTGTTCCAAGTCTTACTTCTGACTGAATAAATTGCCGAGATACCTGCTTCGATAAATGACATCCTCTCGATATGCTTATAAATCGTGAGAACCAATCAATCGTGCAGGCTGATAAGGAATAATAGAATTTCGAGAAGTAATAATAACGCGACAAAATATGAAGCGTCTCGCGCCGCTACTTGTCCGCTCGAGTGTTGCCACTAGACTAACAACAAGGTTACCATGACAACAACATAAATACGCCGCAAGGAGCGAGTGTCGCGTCAGTCAAATTATCAAAATATTTAATTCCAAGTCTTATTTTCGACTGAATAAATCGCTGAGATATCTACTTCGATAAATGTACAGTTTGAAAATTTGTTTTCTTGTTAAAAAAAATATGACGATTAAAATTTTTGTGTTAAATATTTAACACATTCATATGATAATTAATAAATATTGCTGCTGTATTAATTAAACTTGAATGTTAAATTATTAAAACAGCTGAAAAAAAGTGTAAAAATAACATAATGTGCACTTATTTTTAGTTTTACACAATAGATATGTTCTGTATTATTACTAACGGGATTTATCTGTTAAAATTTACAGAAAAAAAATGTTGATTTTATTCTATAATTGGAGTGAGAATGACTACAGACCGTCAATAACATTTTTGCAAGTTAATTTCATCATTAAAAATATGTTGATTTTACACACAATTTATTTAAAATTACTATGAAATTTGCATTCATTTTGTATTAAAACATTAATTTAACAGAGTATTAATATCTCATCATTTAACATATCCATATTATGTTAAATTAACATAAAAATTTGTGTGAACCGTTTGGGACATGCGATATACATATGTTAAATTTAAGCCAAATTTTTCAACTGTGTGGCCGTCTTCTCGATATGTTTATAAATCGTGAGAATCAATCAAACGTGCAGATTGATAAGAAATAATCGCGTTTCGAGAAATAATAATAACGCGATAAAGTATGAAGCGTCTCGCGCCGCTACTTGCCCGCTCGAATCTCATCGCTCGACTAACCACAAGATTACTATAACAACAACATACACGTATACAGAGTGAGTCAGGAGGAGAGGGAAGTATTTTGGGAGACGATAATATGGAGCATTGTAAAAAACACAAGTTTATATAAACATGTTTATTATTCTCATATAGTTTCGGAGATACAGCTGTTTGAATTTTGTGGAAGTACAATAATAATGAATAATACATGTGTCACGTTTCGCAACAAATACTCAAAAATTAAACCGTGAACGTCAATATATTTTACAATTCGTGTGCTAAGATTGCATGTCGTTTCTCTGAGTGTAGCGTGCTGTTCTTTTATACGAATAGCAGCATCCAAAATGCGAGCAATCAATTCTTCTCGTGTACTCGGTTTCGTTTGGCAAACTTCCGTTTTCAACCATCCCCATTAACAATAATCTAACGGAGTCAAATCCGGAGACCGTGTATCATTCATTATTATTCACATGTATCGTTCATTATTATTGTACTTCCACAAAATTCAAACAGCTGTATCTTCGAAACTATTGGAAATAATAACCATGTATGAAAATTTTTCTTTTACAATGACTCATACTATCATCTCCCAAAATATTTCCCTCTTCTCCTGACTCACCCTGTACATGTGTATAAGTACGTCGCAAGGAATTAGTGCCGCCAGCCAAACTGTCAATATATTCAATACACATAAAGCAAATGTACGCCGAAAATATCTCCCGTTCTTTGTATTTTAAATCAATCTCGATGAACGTGAGCTATTATAGGCACATTGTATACTCCGTTTTGCATATAATAATTCCAGCATATTTTCGTCGAATTAATCTTTAAGTAGTAATTGAGAGATTTAATATTTTCATTATGATTACGTGATCAAAAATAAATAGAATAGTTGATAAAACTTAGATATTTTTTTAATAAATAAAACATATTGCTATAAAAATTTATCTCATATATAATATTTACCACTATTACCAATTGATTCTTTCAGTGAGATTTCTCGGTACCTTCGATGCTGATATCTCGAATGATAGCTTTTTGCAAACAGCGCGATTTTGAGCGCGTTATCTCGAGAAAGTGGGGACAGAATCGGATGAAGAGAGCACCGGCATCATCGACTCGAAGAGTAACGAGGTTTCCCCGGTTGGTTAATCCGCCGCGGATTGGATCGCGCGAAAACACGCGCACTAACGCGGTTTTCGGCGGGCTCTCGCCCTTCGCCCTCTCGCCGCCGGAAGTAGCGAAACCGACCTATGTCGGTGACATTCCGATCGTGTATCGTTGCGCTTTCAAAAAATACGTATCGCGTATACATCTGCTATATACAGTGGTCGCTTTGGTACGCAAACCTAATCGAGAAAAATCCATCCGAAAAGTCTGCTGTTCTTTTAGTTTCTTGAAATGCATATCTTCAGTATATCATTTAATTTCATGCTCTGCAGAAAATTAATGGTAAATGAGATATTTTGTATCGTCGGTAATTTTCAAACGGCTTAATATATCCAGTATTATATTTTACTTTCGCTTTTTTAATCTTTATTTGTGTCCAAACTTAAAAATTATTAAATTTTGTGCTTTATTTATCTTGTCTTAATGCACATATTTATATTGAAATATTTAAAATTAAATAGTTTTAACGAGAAATAATAGTGTTTAATAAAATTTTGATAAAAAAAAAAGATTATTTCAATTTCCACTGTTAAATAAATACATCTATGAAATAACTTCTATTAAAACCTGATATAATACTAATTATAAAACTATAAATTAGAAAAACTTATAATAAATTAGTAAATAGTATAATATTAATCAAGTTATATTTAGTATTTGTTATCCGGGGATATTATTATATTTTTCATGTAACCCATGAGATAGATAAATATATTATCTATTTTATAAATAATTCCGATGGATGGCTTTCTTATGCAAATGAATAGGACGATCTTTAATGTTACATTACGGGTGCAACGGATCGTCGACGGCAACCGGAAATGTATACAGGATGTTCTTTGACGCCGCCCTATCATTATCGGCCGCTTTGCCAGATTTATCGAAAGTGATTCGGCACGTGCCAAGTGATCATTACGCCCCGATCATTAAGAGCCAGCGCATGTTTGTTTCGAATCGCATTTCCGCATTACTCGTTTCTCATAACTTCTATTCTTCGAGTATGTAATTATTTAATTACTTACAACTTTTAACATATCAAGCACTAATTTAAAAATATTTTTCTTCAAATCACGTTCTGAAAAACTTCGAAAATGTTATTATGATATTTACGTTACATTATTTAAATGATATTAAAATTACAATAACTTTTTCGTCTAATCTGATACGCGACTTAGATCTTAGATAGATCTGTCTAAAGCTCAGCACGAGCAACCGAAAATTCTCCTCTATCGACTGACACGGGTCCACGTATAAGTACATACGGACGAATGGCTTGTGCCAGCTGATGAGGCGGAAGGCACCTAAAGAGATAAAGCAACGAAACGGAGGGATGAGACATAGAGGGATGCTTAAGATGGGAGTAAGGCGGACGGTAAGAAACGCAGGGTAGACGAGAGACGCGGGCGCGGGAAGAGGGAAGAGAGAAATCAACTTTTATTTGCCCGGAACGTCGTTAGGGGTAAGTGGAGGACCGTGAAGGGTGGCCGGACGTAATGGCGCCCTCAACCCAACCTCGACTCTTGCCTTCCGGTATCCGTAGCGTGTCTATCGTGCCTCTTCATCCCGCTCACCCGATCTCCTCTCCCCCGTGTCCAACCCCCTTTTTATCCCTCGATCCGTGAAGCTCCCGGCGTTTCTCCGTCTATCCGCCTATCTATGGACGAGTGTACGTCCGTTATCGAATTGGCGCTGGTCTCGGCCAAGACTTTCACCGGAAGTGAAGTGTCGCCGGACTTTGATAGATGAAGTTGTAGAATCGAAAGATTTTACGCGCGCTGTAAATTTTTCAACTTTAAATAGCTGCGATAAATATTAAAATTTAGTTTTTTTTTTCTTGCTATATTATAGTCAAGAATCGTGCTTATAATAAATTTTAAGTTGTCTACGTACACGAACTGTGAAGAGTTCATTTACATATTAGAGCACAAAGTTTATATTACTCTGCGAAGAATATTATCCTAATGTAAGTTTCATTGAAAAACACGAGCCACGATGCTTGCGGTCACAATTTAATAGACCATGGAAGAAGCGATTAATTCTCGAATGACACTGCGATAACTTCGACCCTGATTCCCGACCAGACATATTACCATCACAATGGCGCACGTCGAGTGCCACGAAAAGAAGGGTGGGCGGGACGACGGGATTGCGACGTCCGGCGTCCCGACGCCCCGAAATGCCACCACTTCTCTCATCCACGACGCCCAGTCGATTACACGTATCCCCCAAATACATTTGACTTAACCGTATCTACTGGCGAAATGGACTATTTTATATTTGTTTGTGCATCGTATAATTTGCAAAGATTTCCAGCATCCTGTGTCGCCAGAAAAAGAGAAATATAAAAGTCTCGTTCAGTTTTTAATGAATAAAGTAAAAGACTTCTTTTTCATATAGCAAGTGGATTCGTTTAAGCAAATTTAATATCATAATATTGGATCTTTTTAAATTTGATATATAATATTTTAATGTTACAAAGAGTAAAAAGAATGAGAAAGAGAGACAATTTCTACACATGCACAATTTTTCTATGATTTTTCAAGATATTTTAAATCTGCAAAATAATAAAAAAGTGTTACAAATTAAATATTTCTGATAAAAGACAAATTCACTTCTTAGTAGTCTTATTTAATGTAAAAAAATGTACGTTAAAATAAATTTAAAAAAAAGATAGAAATGATTAGCGATATTTTAAAAAATTAGGGAACGCGATATACATTTACATACAAACGTATTTCAATTTTAGGGAAATATAGATTTCTTGCAAGCGGTAATCAATTAATCGCGATGCCTCTTCTCGACGCTATCCACAATCTTATGACTCGTAAGCTTAACACGGTAAATTTAGCGCGTTAGACACACTCGGTAAAAGCTACCGGGTTGCCGGTCGGCAGTGTCTTCCACCCGTCATCCGTATGGTCACGTGCCGTCTGCTTCGCGTTCATATACACATTTAATAGCTGTCGGGACATTATGCTCTATCGCGGGGGCTTTGTGTATAAAATAAGACGTTCCCTTCTCTCGCGCGCGTCCGTGGCGGAAGAACGGTAGGAGCGAGGAGGGACGGAACTCGTTCACAGGGGACGAGAAAGAGAGAT